GCGTGAACCTGACCCTTAGATTCACTGTCTAACCAATTGGGTTCGTATCCCTTTATAGTCCATCCCGGGGGGACGAATTAGCGAAGAAAGGACATGTTAGTAATCTTATCTTGGTAGCACTGTATGTAGAAGCAATATGTCCTTACAGAGGGTGTAGCCTTCTCAACGGATGACTTCGAGCTCGGCGCGGACTCGCGCATAATGATAACAGGTACATAGTGTAAATATTACAGGACTCTGAAAGTAAGAAGTTCGAGGAGAAAATTGATAGGATGGTAAGGTAGATGATATATGACAAAATGCGGATCCATGGGACCAGCCTTACAATATAGTATACATCTCTCTCTCTCTCTCTCTCTCTCTCTCTCTCTCTCTCTCTCTGGGCTTTTTAAGACCTTGACATTAACTCATTATCAACTATTATATCTAGTGTTGTTAATGCTTCATCAACCAACGGCCCGTGGAGTCCCTAGATCATCCATATTTCTAAGATCCTCCAATAAGGTGACATAGTGCGATCTAGAGCATATTCGCCTCTTATCCTAATGGGTTATCTAATATCAATAATTCGACCATGTTTAGCAGTTTCCCAGACTTACAGCCCCGGTAAATCATTTTACTCACAACCAAACCCAATTTCAGTAATATCGGAAGGCCAATGACCAGATGTTTTATATCATGGGAGAAATGATATCTGTGTATTGCGATATGCTATGTCGTACCAAGGCCCAGAGCCAGAGGATCACAACAAAAGATTTTATTTCGTTTTCTCTCTAAAGAAGCATATTTATACACTAGTCTTGTATTTTGAATTATGCAGTGGGTTTGGGAAGCCATTGCGCAGTATCTTAGAATGGGCATTTGCCACAGGGAAAATTTCTTGTGCCCTAATTTCGCCTATTTGGGGGGATAAGAAGAAGAGGACGAGAGTATTTGATTGACTATTTCGTGCTTCGTTTGATAGTATGTAGAGGTCTATAGCGAGACTCCCATTAGCTTCCATTTATTTAGCCATATTCTTCTCCATCTTTCATCAAATTGGTAAGATGGCCGAGTTGGTCTAAGGCGCCAGGTTAAGGTATACCTTGACTCCACAACTAGCAATAGTTTCCTGGTCTCGAAAGAGGCGTGGGTTCAAATCCCACTCTTATCATATTCTTTTTGCTTTTTGTCCATATCACTTACTTTTTGGTGCCGTCGGCGAAGTTTTGCAGTCAAGAATGGTGTGTGGTCGAGAAAAGAATCTTCATTTTTGTGCGTTAGTATATACATGCCTCACCTTAGCCTACAATTTTATACTTGACTAGTATAGATACAAGGAAATTATCCATTATTTTAGTTGAGATAGCCAGCATCTGAAATATTGAATTCAAAAATTATAGTATATTTTATCAACTCTAGTGTGTGCGGTGACCTATGACTTGGTACAAGGAAGGGACAAAAAGCAGCAGAAGAGCACGCAGTCTAGAATTTGACCTATAGAAGTAGGTGATAGAAACTGCTTTATGTATCAGTAACTGTTGGGGCACTGCCCTCTAATTTTTTACTCAACGTCTGGTCTGTATATGTATAGTAATCTGAATCTAAACGCATATCAAGACTACAACCAATGCTCCTACGTGGGACGTGCCATCTTTCCATGTACATAGCTTGGTGGTAAGTGGTGAATGTGATTGGCTCCCAAGCCTGGTCATATTACTGACTGCTACTAGAATCATGGCCCAGAAACAGACTGGTTTATTAGAGCAGAGCCCACTGAATAGGCCAGTGTCTAATACCCGAAGAATGTATATGACGTATGGCTGTGATCGCGGAATACAAATATTGATATATTATGAGGGAGGTATTGGGATATAGCTGCCCAGGTGATGTCGAGCAGTGTGAGAAGCCAACAATATAATAGTACAGCACTGAGAGTCGGAGTTTCTCTGTTGTATATCATTGAACTCCCCGGTCATGGAAAAAGAGATGGAGAGGGAGAGAGTCCTAGAAATCTAAGCAGAAGTTTATACTTCATGTTTATCACCAGTGGTATCGTACAGGCTAGGTAAATAAAAAGGTCCGTTTCTGACATCCATGGCGCCATATCGATATTTTCTCCATCGTTGATTTCATTGGGATGGTTTGTGAGATCAGACTATTGCACTGTACTATGATATCCTCTCGCTCATAGACAACACGACCGAGGACAAGGTGGACCGAAAAACGTTTATTCATCTGTCTTACAGTATCTACTACAAAAGAGTAGTCAGCTTATGTGTTCTCGTGTAGTCTTTTGGTAGTCTTATATATTCTTTTAGATGTTTTTTTTCCCCATAGATATTTTCTCACGTGTCTCAGTTTTACCGCTGAAAAATGCTTAGAATGTACAGACAACTTTTCCACCTACCACCAGGGATAATCCTAAGATCTTGACAAGAACTAGTCAATAGTATCAAAAATTGTCGAATCGAAAAAGATAGCATCTGTATAAATTCCACTGGTCAAACAGAACTAATTTTTAGATCACGACCTTAAAAATTCCAACCACCCACTTCCACCACCATACCAAGGCCCCCCCCCCTCCCCCAAAAAAGAAAAAATTTGAGCTAACAAAAGCCTTAAGATTGAGATGGCATAAGAAAAAAACAAAAAGATATGATAAGAGTGGGATTTGAACCCACGCCTCTTTCGAGACCAGGAAACTATTGCTAGTTGTGGAGTCAAGGTATACCTTAACCTGGCGCCTTAGACCAACTCGGCCATCTTACCAATTTGATGAATGGTGGATGAGAATATGCCTACATGAACTAAAATTAACGCTATGGATAATTATTCTCGTAGGGCTAAGGCATAGTGTGCCACTAAAGACTGCCCCAGGTGTAGAGATATCCTCAATAATTATTCACATTTGGTCTAGTTAAATGTTTTTTTTTGTTAGGTAATATACATATATAAATCAAGAAAACACCATAATACATCCTATGCCAAACATGGCATATGAATCAAGCCCACTGTCGGGGGTGTCGCAGCACATCCATAAGCTCCTTCTCCTTGGTCTTATCCTCTGCCAGATCATCTTCATCCACAGGCATATTCTCTGTCCTTGTGCCAGAGACAGGGTCCATGTAGGCCCAGCTAGCAGTACGTGGGAGACTCATCAAGATACTTTCAATGCGGGCATTGGGTGTGCGCAAGCCAAAGCTAGTTCCGCGATCATAGACTAGGTTGAACTCCACGTAGCGGCCCCGACGAAGCTGTTGCCACTCCTTTTGTTCTGGGGTGTACAGCATGTCTTTGCGTCGCTCAATGATGGGCACATAGGAAGGAAGGAAAGATGCCAGACCGTCCGAAACGAAGGAGAACAGAGTTTCCTGAGGGTTGGAGGAGGAACCGGCGGAAGTTTGGAGGAAGTTGGCATCGAGGTCATCGAAGAAGATACCTCCAACACCACGGCATTCGCCACGGTGGGGGATGTAGAAATACTTGTCACACCAGGACTTGAACTTGGGGTAGTATGTAGCATCGTGGCGGTCGCATGTATCCTTAATGGTCTTGTGGAAGTGCTGAGCATCCTCAGGGAAGAGGTAGGTCGGGGTCAGGTCCGTGCCACCGCCGAACCACCAGTTCTTGTCCCCGTTGATGGGGTCCTTGGGATCCGAAGTTTCGAAATATCGGTAGTTGAGATGCACCGTTGGAGCCATGGGATTGTGTGGGTGCAAGACCAGCGAGAGACCAGCGGCAAAGAAATCCAGCGAGTCCACATCTGAGCCAACAAAGGACTTGTGATCGGCACGCATCTTCTCAATGGCTGGCTTGGGTAATTTGCCGTACACCACGGAGACATTAACACCCGCCTTCTCGAAGACGTTCCCGTCCTGCAGCACACACGAAATGCCGCCGCCACCATTGGGGCGCGACCAGGTATCGGTCTTAAATTGTTGCCCATCGATTCTGCCTAGTTCCTCGATGATCTTCTGCTGGTGTTGCTTGATGAGCTTTTCCATTCGTAACCGCATCGGCGAGGACTCGTTGATTTTCGATGACTGCTTCAGGGCATCGTCCACTTCAACCATGGATGGAGCGTCGAGTTCCGTGACTTCTTCTGTCATCTGGAATAAATGAGCAAGTGGATTTCCTCGGGGGTTGAAGCGCCGTATCATACCATTGAATATAGAATTGCACCGATGAAAGGCACACCAAAGGCGAGGCGCAAGTATGGTCTCCAGACAGTGAATGGCTTCGGTTCGCGCGGATTCTGCTCAGTGGAGTATCCGCGGAACGAGGTCCCAGCACGACGACCAGCAATGCGAGTGCTTCGAGCAGAGAGCTGTCCAAGCGACCTCCGCAGAGGCGCGTATGATCGGGTGGCCATGTTTGGAATAGGATTGGCTGCACGAATACCCTGCACAAAGTATCAAAAGGCTAATGGCCGAAAGCGAGTGAGTGATAACCAACACTTGTATCAGAAATGAATTGAGAAAGAAGTTGAATTGAGTCAACAATTTAGCAAAGTACCATGCAACCTCGGTCTCAAATCGTACGACTTTCTTAGAGGTGAGTTTGATCTGTTTGGTTGGATGAGATAAGCACGATAAGCCCCGGAGTTGAAATAGGCAGCATCGGGGCAATACATGTAAGCCCCGGTATTGGTGATATTGTTTTCATCTCGATATTAAAGACCTGACTAGTATATTTGTGGGATATCTTATATTCATAGTACATTAATTATATATGTCTTTGCTATTCACGTGAGCCCATCGAGGCATCTGATTTCTGCCGCGTGACTTTTGACTCACCGCCTATGGATCCCGTGATGGTAATACCGTAACGTCAGCGGGGGAGGTCGCCTTGTCATCCTCTATCACCCCTCTCCATCTCTCTCTCTCTCTTTCTACCCTCTGCAAGATACTTTACATCCAGAGCTTCTCATCAAGAAGTCACTACTGCTACTACCTTCGTACTAGAGCTTTCTAGTGTTTTGATCTTACTCTCCACCCGACCCGCTCTCACTTATCGACCCTTATCAGTCACGATGCGATCCAAGTTCAAGGACGAGCACCCCTTCGAGAAGCGCAAGGCTGAGGCTGAGCGTATCCGCCAGAAATATGCCGACCGCATTCCTGTGAGTATCTTTGATTTCAGGGGATTTCCCCGATGGTGGTCACAACCAACCTTTCGGGCCCTCACCGCTTGTTTGGTAGCTAACGGACCTTCGACCTACAGGTCATCTGCGAGAAGGTCGAGAAGTCGGATATTGCCACCATCGACAAGAAGAAGTACTTAGTGCCGGCCGACCTCACCGTGGGACAGTTTGTCTACGTGATCCGCAAGCGCATAAAGCTCTCCCCCGAGAAGGCCATCTTCATCTTCGTTGATGAGGTCCTCCCTCCAACTGCTGCGCTCATGAGCAGCATCTACGAAGAACACAAGGATGAAGATGGCTTCTTATACATCACGTATGTTTTACCTTTTCTTTTGGTAAATGAATACATACTGACATAACGGTTAGATACTCGGGCGAGAACACTTTCGGTGACCTGTAGAGGTTGTCTAGTCTCTCTCATTTGCTTTGCTGTTCGGCCACTCCAACCTACATGAGTGAGTCAATGATGGATGAACGGGCAGGCGAGAAGGCTTCTGCGACCTTGGGATACTGGTTTTGGGTCACGGGCGTTTCATTCGGGTGTTCTGCGCATTTTCTAACTTTTCTTGGCAACTATGCTCTTTCGCTGCAGCCACAATCATTATGAGCTTTCTCTGGTGGTAATATTCTGGGATTCTTTTGCCAAATTTCTTTTTTACGTTTTGGTAGTTCCGAGCAATGGAGCACCAACCTGGAAACAAACCACAGACCAGGCTAGATAAATTGTTTACACTGAAGAGCAATATGGTTTCTTTAGCCATACATTTCCCTGGGGAAGTATTTCGAGCCGACATCTCTACTATATAAAGTAACCATGGAATGCTTCACGGCTAACTATAAATGACTCCTCACCAACATGGAATATATTAGATAATAGTACGCAGTTTGGCATTTGTATTTCCTACAATCTGTGGATGTTGGATTGTAGATATTCATTTTTAGTCACTTTCACCCGTCGCATTCCGGTGCGATATTTCATTCCTATTTCCATGTTATTTACAGGGGAAAAGAATGCTATACCTAGTCATGTTCCAGAAAGAGATATAATTTACTTGATATCTCTATCCCAAATCCCCAAATCTCCAAACAAATATCATATATGTACTCCATACGGAGTATATAGATCCTTGTCCTTGGCTCTCCGATGGCGGCTCCAAAACGGGACTAGTGCCGAATCCCGCCTCGATAAAATTTAACTCCGAGAGCAGATGTTCCTGAATTGAATCCATCGGCGTTTTCATTCTCTAGCTTTGTCTTTTTTTTTGGATTTCTGAATTAGAAAATATGTCTCCCGCTATTGTCCCCAGTGCTGGCACTGCCTCCACAGATGTCAAGAAGGAGTCTGCTACTGCTCGTCTCCTCGGTTCCGGTAAGTCGTCAGATGTTCAAAACACAAACTCATTACTGACCTATGATTTTTCTAGGCTCTGCCGGCATTGCTGAGTTGTTGATCTTCCACCCTGTACGATATTCTCCGAGTCGAGAGCCATTGCGACTAGACACTGACGTCCATAGGTTGACACCACCGCCAAGCGATTGATGAGCAACCAGACCCGGGTGAGATTCGGGTTGTTTACAAACAAGGTGTATCTATTGCTGACTGGATCCATTGACAGATTGCCAACGCTGCCGCTTTCAAGCAGGTTGTCTTCAGGGAGCACGTCAACGCCACAATTGGTCGCAAGTTCACTTCTCTGTTCCCCGGTCTGGGATACGCTGCCGGTTACAAGGTTCGTGACTCCTATCGACAGAAGAACGGGAGAACAGCCAGTTCATATTATTTCAAATCTATAGGTCCTCCAGCGCATCTACAAGTATGGTGGTCAGCCTTTCGCACGCGATTACCTCGCTAAGCACCACGGTGCCGACTTCGATAATGCATTTGGCAAGGGTACTGGAAAGGCCATTATGCACGCCACTGCTGGAAGGTAAGAACAATTGAACAATTGGGTGCGAGAATTCATCTGATTCGAAACTTTTTAGTTTGATCGGCATTGGAGAGATCGTTCTGCTCCCTCTGGATGTTCTTAAGATTAAGCGTCAGACTAACCCCGATGCCTTCCGTGGCCGTGGCCTTTTCAAGATTGTTGCCGATGAGGGTATGGGTCTGTACCGTGGTGCTGGCTGGACTGCCGCCCGTAACGCCCCTGGCTCCTTCGCTGTATGCTTTTCCCGCCTCGGTCTATTATCACTGAACCACCACTAACTTCTGCTACAGCTCTTCGGTGGATCTGCTTTCGCCAAGGAAAAGATCTACAAGCTGACCGATTACAACACTGCCACCTGGGGCCAGAACTTCGTCGCCTCAGTTTGCGGTGCTAGCGCCTCCCTGGTCGTGTCCGCTCCCCTCGATGTCATCAAGACCCGTATCCAGAACCGCAACTTCGAGAACCCCGAGTCCGGCTTCAAGATCATCTCCACGATGCTTAAGAACGAGGGCCCTACCAGCTTCTTCAAGGGTCTGACCCCCAAGCTGCTGATGACAGGTCCCAAGCTTGTCTTCAGCTTCTGGCTGGCACAGACTTTGATTCCCGCTTTCGGTCAAGTTGTATAGAGACCATGTTTTATAATTGTTGCATCCCCCCTTTTCTTTCTCCCTTCTTGGGCTAGGTTAATTACCTAGACTTTTGTATTTTTCATAGACATGTTTTATTTCCTGAGGGGATCTACTTAGGTAGCTTTACATTTTCCGAATGCGACGAACTCAATCTCTACTTTAACATTCGTGTGACCATATCAAGACTCTAGAGTTCTTTAAACGACAACATTGAAGTTCTATTTGAATGACATATACATTCTATTGACATAGAAATAACCACAAGAATGAGACGGGATGTATAGTGGGAATATCAACATCCAAACCAGTAAACGAAAAAAAAAACACACATATGTAAAAAGAAATGACACAAACTTCGTTCGTAAGGCACTCTACTAACCAGCAACAGCGCTTCTTTGCTTTGATAGCCAGCCCTTGGAATCTCCCGTGCTGGCTCCATGTCGATATCGTGATACCGTCATATTGTTGTTCTGCCATCGGCTCTGAAGGTGATACCAGGCAGAGCCTACAAGGTTGAGTTCTCGGGCCTGGCTGTCGATAATACTCTGAAGCTCAAGCTAAAAATGTCATCAGCAGACTGCTAAAACGTAACATGACCAAGGGACGAAGCATAAACAGCTCCATATTTGACTTACCTCTCGCTCTTTGGAAATTCCATCGTCCAGATTTTCTTCGTAGTTCTTCATACGCTCACGAAGTGATTTGACCAGCTCATTTTGTTGCTGGATGTACTATAGAACCAAGCTAGAGTCAGCAAACCAAACAAGTCATAGTGAGGATCATCTGTGGAAAACTGACCTCCGCACGCTGAGCGAGTCGTTCGACATTCTTCTCCAGAACTCCCGCACACTGCTTCAAGAGCTCGAAACTAGATTTCTGGGGCACTTCTCCACCCTCGGTATTGTGGGTTTCAAACTCGCCTAGGAGCATCTGCATCTCGTTCATCACTTCCTGATCTTCGGAGCTGATCTCGCTTTGCTTGTTGTCGAGCATCTTGCGCAGTTCCTCTCGTTCCGCACAGACTTCACGCACCAGCGTCTGGCTAGCATCAACTTCTGCCTCCAGGTGATGGACGTTCTGTGTGAGACTCTCCCAATCATCCCGGATTTTTGTTAATTCAGCCGAGTTATGCGCCTCGAGTCCTTGGAGCATCTCGACCTGTTCCATATTGACAAGACCAACTTCAAATATTTGTAAGTTAGATGTTTTCTCAAACATGTAGAACCGGAGCAATCTTTGGCTTACGTTCAGCTTGTGTATCGGAAAGGTCCCTTTTGGTTGTTTCCAAGGTGTCCTGAACCTCTGCAATTTTCTTGAGAGCTCCGGTATAGTTCTCGTATAGTTTCCAATAGTCGTCACTGCTAAATGTTAGATATTCTGCTCATTGAAACGAAATATTGGGCAATAAAACCTTTGGGTGGAACCAGAGCGCGCCAGGTGCACAGATGCAGCAAAGTTTTCAGAGAAGCCTCCAGTATGAGAGGCCGGCTAGTGGTTGTCAGCATTAAGAGAAGGTTTTAGAGAATGAATGGTACACATACAGCTGAAGGTGCTTTGATCGACTCCATTTCCCGCTTCAAGTCATCATTCTCAGATTTACTGTCAATGGTTAGCATCCAATAAGACTGCGCAGACAAAATGTATACATACAGTTGAGACTCTTTGACACCGAGTGCCTCAAAGTCCTTGTGCAATGTCCCTTGCATCTTTGGCGTCTCAGAGCCAGGCGACGCACTGCCCGGCAAGCCGTCCATTTCTCCGAGGCGTTCACGTAGTTCGCTGATCAAAGCATCGTCTCTCTCGTGCTGTTCGTCCGCACTTTCCAGTCGCTCTGTCAGCGCGTGATTGTTGAACTCGAGTTGTTTCTTCAAGTTCTGGATCTCATTGCATTCCTGCTCAACTTGTGGCAGAAGCTTGCGGTATTCTTCCAGTTCCACATCGCGCTCCGAAGACCACCGCTGTTGCGAGTCTGACTCTTTCAGCTGCTGCTGAATATCTTTGATCTGGTTCTTAAGGGTCTGGTTCTCTTTCTCAAAGTCTTGGCTGGCTTGCAGCTTTTGGCGGTATTTCTCGGCCGCGTTTGCCTTGCGCGCGAGCTGATCCTTCTCAGTACGAAGTTCATCATAGTCATCCTGCAACTTCTGATAGCGCTGGTTCTTGACCCGCAAGGACTCGACTGTCATCCGAAGACTGTCAATTTCGTCCTGGGCCGCGGTCAACTTTGCTTCCTGGGAGGCAATTAGGTCGTCCTGTTGACGGGTCTTGCTTTCCAATGCCTTTGCATTGAACCCGATATCACCCTTTCCAGATTTCAATGTAACCAGCCGGTCCTCGGTAGAGGCGAGACGGTTTTGCAGGGTGTCGTTGTTCTCCTGGAGACGCGCCAGGCGGTTGTGCAAGTCCTCCAATGCCTTTTCTAATTCTTTTTTCTCGTGTGTCAGACGATCGTTCTCCGCCAGCACCTTTCCGACGCGTTCTTCGAATTGCAGTTCCAGGTCCACAGGGCGATCGTGCTTGGCCAGATCTTCCCTGAGCTCGTCCGCAGCGTCCATCGGCTCATATTGGCCATTGTGCGCCTCCTCGATAATATCCTTGAGACCCTCCTGTGTCGAGGTACTTAGTTCCTGGAGTGTTTGTACGTATGTTCCGGCGTTGGGGGAGCTGATGGCCGCGATCAGGAGCAGCTTCAGCAGCTTGTTCGTTTCCTTGGCAGAGGCTTTTTCGGCGATAGATTCGAGATCGGGTGACGGATCGAGACCGGAGGGTAGGATGTCATCGTTTTGGTGTCGAATGTAGTTGAGCAGTAGTTTGTGGATGTGCTTCAGGTTCTGCCACTTGGCTACCCAATGGTCGGAGGAGTTGCGCTCTGGGATTTCCTCAAGGAAATACTGGGGGTCAATATCCTGGAGAATCTCCCACAAGATGATTCCATCGGTCAACTCATCAGTGGCTCGGAGAGTTTTGCCCAAGGAGAAGCTGTTGATCCATTCCAACAGAACCTTGGTCACCGTGTGTTCCGACGCCATTTTGGCGATTGACGCGTTTAATCAAATATTAAAGAAGCATGCAATTCCAGCATTTCCAAGACTCTTAAATCGAGAGGATTATGCAAAATGCCTCGGTGGCTCAAAGGGAGTTTCCAGCGGATCCACGCGCCTGGGGGGCCACGGGAATTAACTAGCGGGGGAGATGATCGGCCCTATGTCCATGCTCTTTGATTTACTATACAGGTCTTTTTGTAAATTGTGATAATACTATGCTTTAGTTATATCTTAAACCAGTAAACATTATGTTTCCCCAAGAACATAAGGGCTCAACCATTTACTCCCACATTGTGTATACACCCAAACGCCGAGGTATTAAATCACCCAAATATTTCCGAGTATGAGATCCTGATTGGTTCATATGGATTTGCCTCCAAGATATCATGCTCAGAGCTGTTGAGATTCACGGTATCTCATCGGAGAGAGCATATTAGACTGCCGCATAGTCTCCGTATGCACTCACAACCTTGTCTTCTTCGATATTCGGTTTGTATTGGGTATCCTGAGTAGATAGGGTCTGGAGAGCGCTCACAGGAGCCTCGGCGGCGAATCCACTAAAGCCATTAGTTAGAAAAGTGGTAAGATAGAAACGTTAAAATCGTACTTGATCAAATCTGTATAAATGTTAGCAATGATATCTTTCTAGATGATAAGTTAGAACTTACGGTACTCATGTGTGATAACACCACCCTAAAAGTGTTAGTTCAATAAAAACGACAACAAAGAAGCACAGCGTACTGAAGCCACTAGAGATGCTTTGGCCTGGCTAACCACCGAGTCAGGCGTTCCCTTGGGGAAAGTAATCACGACGGACTTGAGTGATCCGGCTAGCGCCAGTGGTAGAACCAACAGAGCGGCAAATGTAAGCTTCATACTGAAAAATGTAATAATATCTTTGTAGTAAAGAGTATATAGGAGGAAGTCAGGTAAGGCAAGGCAAAGTCCAAAGAGGTTGCAAGTGCTGGCGTCATTGATCACATGACTCTATCTGACAATCCCTTTCTCTTTCTTCCACCTCACCACCTTACCACTTCACGATATATTTTCTTTCTTTTGACCTTCAATTTTCATTGCTTCCTCCAAAGCGCTGTTTTCTTGCATTTACCCAATCTTGGTTTTTGTTTCTTTTTCCACTGCTTGGTTTTTCGCGGAACACGGCTTTTTCCTAGCATTTCTTCCCTCGTTCCACCCCGGCGATTCTTTGGAAGGTAGATAAGGGAGCTGGAAGGTTACAGGCTGGGTTGGATCGAGATCAAGCATTTGAATCCTATTGTGTTCTCAATTCTCGCAAAGATAGCTAGCAAGCATTTACAAGTTCCGACTATTTCTCCATCTTTGCGTTGATCCAAGAGAATTTGTTCCTTGGAACGTGGACAAGGATTAAGAAGAAAAGAAGCCATTTTTTGTGATAGTCACAGGGAAAGGGACAGAAGCCTAAGGGAAGAAGTGAAGAACAAGAAAAACAACCCCGGAAGCAAGACAAGAGACAAAGAAGTGCAGGAAAAAAAAAACGTGCTGAACTTCGCCATATTGATTTCTACTCTCGACATCCCTGATAAATCCAGTTCTCGACTTATCCCACATCGCCATAATGTCCGGCCTCGTTTCCGACGAAATTGCCGAGGACTACAAGAGTTCCTTGGAGGATCTAACCACCAACGATGGAATTCAGATCCGTACTCTGACTGTCATCGCCAAAGAGAATACCGAACACGCAATGGCTATCTCCCGGGTCCTGGAGAACCATATTCGAACAGTAGGTGCTCCTAGTTTTTTGTGTAGTACGGGATGAGTACTAACCACTATGTAGACACCACCCCTGCAGAAGCTTCCAGCCCTCTATGTAGCCGATTCCATCGTCAAGAACGTTGGAAGCCCTTACACCCTCTTCCTTGGCCGGAACATGTACCAGACATTCATGAATGTGTATACTCTGGTTGATGGAAACACCCGAAGGAAGTTGGATGAGATGCTCAACACATGGAAGCAGCCGGCCCCAGGCTCCCTGGACACGCGCCCAGTCTTCCCTCCCGACATCACACGCAACATCGAGACTGCTCTCATTAAAGCACGCACTGCGGCTTTACAACAACAACAGGCCAGGGCCCAACCAGACATACTCGGCCGTAATCGTGGAAATGGGACTCCGACAGGTTGGACCAACAGCCCTACACCACCTCAGAACATGCCTCGGCCTTCACAAAACCAGTTCCCCAACAATGGACATTCCAATTCGGTAAGACTACTCTCGTCTGTCGCATTCAAAGCTAATTCGGGCCTCACAGGCACCTCCCCAGACTCATCGACATGATATCGATTTGAGCTACCTCAATCGAGATGTGGATGCCCTGATTGCTTCTGCAAAGATTGACTTTGCTAACAGTCCTTTTAATCCCGTCTCTCGACAGCGCTTGAAAGCCTTGGTGGATCTTCAGGCCATTCTACAGAAACAACAGCTCGCCCCAGATCAGTTGAAACTTGTCCGCGATCAGGTCTCAGCGCTTGCTGCCACAAGACCGCCGTCGGTTGCCCCTAGTGCTACGAATGGCCCAGTAGTGTCCACTCCACAAATTCCAACACCACCAGCGCAACCAGTCTCGCAGCCTCTTCACCAACTATTAAACCATAACACTCTCGCCGAGCTGATCAAAGCTACCGCTTCGCGTCAACAGTCTACCCCACCTCCTCAAATCCCGGCAGCGCTACCTCAGATGCCTCAATATCCTCACCAAAGCGGCCCTCCACAGCCAGCGCCGGAGAACCCTCTTATTGCGGCCTTGAGGGCACGTGGACTTCTACCCGGTGGACCGACACCCTCACCTCTTACGCCTTCTACTTCGACGCCAGTGTCTGGGAGATCTAATTTGCCGTTCATCTTGCCCCCTGGAATGCAACCTACACCTCCAGCTCCGTCTCAAGCTGCAGTTCCCCCCAATGGGTCCTCTGGGGTCCCCATGAGCACCGCGTCTATGAAGATCCCTCGATTCGGACTCATTGTCTCTCTTTATGATTCCCGACCGAACCGATGTGGAACTTGCGGCCGTCGCTTCTTGACCACGGATGAGGGCAAGGAACTAAAGGCACGGCATCTGGACTGGCATTTCAAGACCAACCAGCGCATGACCGAGTCCTCCAGGCGAGCTCAGAATCGCAGCTGGTATGTTGACGAAAGGGTATGTTTATGTCTTGTATTTCTTCGAATTTCATTTCTAACTCCAATAGGACTGGATCAAATCTCGGGAGGCTGGCGACGTGAACGGCGCTACGGACCCCCAAGCTACCACCGAAGGAGCTACAGGCGTGGATGGAAATACCAAGCAAGAGCCGCCAAAGCCATGGATTCGAGCTCCGAACGATGCCACTCTCCGCAATACCCCGTGTCCCATCTGCCAAGAAAAATTTGAATCGACTTGGTCTGAGGATGTCCAGGACTGGATCTGGCAAGACGCAACCAAGGTCGGAAGTCGTGTGTATCATGCAAGCTGCTATTCCGAAGTGACCAAGGGCCCTGCACCGACACGCCAGACACGGACCAGCACCCCTGACTCTGTTCTAGGCAAACGGAAAGCTGAAGTGAGTCTCCTGTTTGAGAGTGGATGGTTCAGAAAGCTAATTAGACACAGGGAACTGAATCTCCAAGCCAGAAGATGCGCATCAAGACTGAGATCTGATTAATCTTGCATTGCATAGGAAATATATCTGGCGTTAATTAGCGAATTTGAGTCCCTTTTTTTTATATATAGAATGTAACCACGTAAGACCCTAGATCTGCCCCGCTCGGCAATATTTCCCATATATTTCCCCCTCTGTAAACTTGTTTTGATTTGAATCAAACTGAATATATCAAACTGAATTGACTCAAATTTTTTATCATGACGCACATTGTTCGATGGGGTATCATGGGTATGAAAATCTGGCAAGAACAGACAAAACAAAGCTAACTGATTGATAGCCACTGGCTGGATTGCTGAGAGTAAGATCTCACTTCTACAATACCTGAATGAAATTTAACTCCCAACAGCATTCACAAATGACCTTCTCATCGACCCCAATGTCCGCAATGCATCTGACATAGCCCACCAAGTCGTCGCGGTGGCCTCGTCCTCGTCCAAGGACAAGGCCGAGCAATTCATCTCGGCTCGAGGAATCACAACCCCTTGCTCTGCATATGGGGACTACGAGACTTTGGTGGCCGACCCCAACGTCGATGTCATCTACGTCGCGACCCCGCACTCCCACCACTACCAGAACGTCAGACTGGCACTGGAGGCGGGCAAGAATGTTCTCTGCGAGAAAGCCTTCACCGTTAACGCTGCTCAGACTAAGATTCTCGTCGAGATTGCCCGCAAGAAAAACCTTTTCCTTATGGAAGCTGTCTGGACGCGCTATTTCCCCCTCAGCATTCAGGTCCGCGAGCTCATCCAGAAGGGTGAGATCGGTGAGGTCCTCCGTGTCGTGGCTGATACGAGCTTCGGTGATGATGTTGAGACGAAATGGGGTACCACACACCGCATGGTGAACCCCGATTTGGCCGGTGGTGCTCTCCTGGATTGTAGGTTTTCTGGGATTTTTTGTTCATTGATTCTCCGAACAACAGAAAGAGAAAGAAGAAACTTGACTGACTTGCTCTTCTAGTGGGTATCTACTCCCTGACCTGGGTCTTCCAGACTCTATACCACACCCTGCCCCGAGACCAGAGGAAGCCACCCACTGTCTCCTCGCAGATGACTCCTTACCACCTCACCGGTGCAGACGAGTCCACAACCATGCTTCTGAGTTTCCCCACAAGCACTCCCTCTAATGGGCCCCACCCGCAACAATCGCACGGTATCGCCCTGACCAACATTCGTGTCTCTGCTGATCCGGATGAGAAGGGTTCGAGTGGCCCCCCATCCGTATCCAGGGCACTCAAGGCGAGATCCAGGTGCTTGGCCAACCTTTCCGGCCAGAGAGCTACCGTATCATTCCCAAGAAGGGTGCCGGTGAGATTCGTGAGGTTCATTGTCCGTTCCCTGGTAATGGTAAGGGTATGTACTGGGAAGCTGATGAGGTTGCTCGTTGTCTCCGCGATGGCAAGCTCGAGAGTGAGGGTATGCCATTGGAAGAAAGTATCGTCATTATGGAGGTTATGGATGAGGTGCGGAAGCAGGGTGGTTTGACCTATCCTCAGCAGATTGAGTCGACTGAGTACCCTCTGAAATTTTAGGTATGAGTTAGTATACGGCGAGTGTAAATAACAATAGTACATGGTATTCGATGAATACAAATCACACCTACTGTAATAGAAATAAGGCCAAAAGACTAACAAATTTACCGAAAGATCCAATTGAATGTAGGCCGGTCTTGGGTGTATTCGGTACTCAAAAGGTACACACACACTACTATACATGGCGGTCAAGGGGACAAACCCACGTCTATATGTGGACGAAAACGCCAGCCATGCTTCCGGTGTGCCCAAATAAGAAAAACATAGGAAAACAAAAAGGTAGGCATCACGGAGCCTGGACTGGTAAATTGTCCCAAATTACCCCCCACCCCCAAATTCCCCTTTTAACTGTAATCAATCCAACAGAATCGCTTACTGGCGGAAGACTCCAAGAATGCTCTTCCAGACCTGGCCAGGCTCCTGGCTGGCATCAATGCCGCGCCAGATACCGGTCTTCTTGTAGTACTCGACAACGGGGGTGGTCTGGGCGTGGTAAGTAGACAAGCGCTTGGTGAGAGTCTCGGCATTGTCATCGGAACGCTGGATCAGCGGCTCTCCGGAGATGTCGTCCTTCATGTCAGCCTTGGGTGGGTTGAAGATCTTGTGATACGAGCGGCCAGAGGCAGGGTGGACCAGACGGCCGGTGATACGAGCCACCAGCAGGGAGTCGTCAATCTGCAGCTCAATGGCATGCTGAAGCTTCTGCTCACGGGAGACGAGCATGTCATCGAGACGCTCGGCCTGCGCAACGGTTCGGGGGAAACCATCCAGGATGAAACTGTCCACCTCTCGTGTTAAATTCTGACCGGGCCTCGGAAGAAAATGAATTGGGGAGGGAAATGTAGATGTACGCACCCGTTCTTGCACTCGGCGTTGTTGTCCAATTCGCTCTTGATCATGTTGACCATGATCTCGTCGCTGACAAGACCACCCTGGTCCATGATCTTCTTGGCTTCCTTACCAAGATCGGTCTTCTTCGCGACTTGGGACCGCAGCATGTCTCCGGTGGCCTATTCAGGAAATACATCAGCGGGAAAGAGCTTATGCTGTACTCGGGCAAACTTCTACTCACCAGGTGGCACGCGCAGTACTTTTCCTTAAGGTTCGGGGCTTGGGTACCCTTGCCTAATTGAAATTGTTAATATCCATTAACTTTTTCAATTATACTTCAATCGCCTACCTGCGCCAGGAGGGCCCATCAAGATGATGCGCATCTGCTCAGCGGCGGACTTGGGCTTGCCGCCATTGGCGAGACGGCTCTCAAGCTCGGACACCTTGGCCTCGAGCTGGTGAATGGTGTTCTTCAGACCGGAGACGGCCTCTTCAGTGATGGGAGCCATTGTGATTTGTAAGAGGGGAGAGGTTTGAAGAAGAGAAACGCTGTAGACGGGGAAACGGAAGAAATGGGGAAAGGGAAGATTCGCAAGGAACTTAGCGCCCGAGGTTCGGAGAGCACGGGCTTCACAGAGAATAGAGTGAATACAATATTGTGTACATTTGTAGAGATGTATACATATTATTATATCCTGATAACTATGTCTAATATCTATACAGTCTCTATATTTTATTATATATTTTATTATATATATATATAATTATCTTGTTTATATGTATATCTTCCAAAGCTTCTCTTCACCCGGCAAATTCCAGTGGCTGCTTACTAATTTCTCCAGCCTCAAGATGGCGCAGCTCTGTGGCGGAGAGCTCTCAAGAGCACCTTGTGCATCATCGCTCTCCATCCACCGCATTCTCCTGTCTCGCGTTGATTTGCTGTTTCATTAAATTTTATTTGATCTACGAGCTTTAATCGTCCCTTATAGCTCTCGATTTCTTTTCATCTTCCCTTACACGATGCCTGCCACCACGGCAGACACGCTATCCCTCGTCAACCGCTCCGTGACGGTTGCCCCGTTAGTCCTCCTTTCCGTCGCAGATCACTATGGGAGAACGGCAAAGGGTACCCGGAAACGTGTTGTAGGTGTGTTGCTGGGTGAGAACTCGGGCGATAATGTCCGGGTATCAAACAGTTTTGCTGGTGAGTGCAAGCTTCGGTGAATCAAATCCATACAACAGAGCTGACATCTGTGTTTCTCTCTAGTCCCGTTCGAGGAGGATGAAAAAGACCCATCGGTATGGTTCTTGGACCACAACTTCGTCGAGTCGATGAGGGATATGTTCAAGAAGATCAATGCTCGCGAGAAGCTAGTCGGCTGGTACCACTCGGGCCCTAAGCTGCGCGCTTCGGATTTGGAGATCAATGAGCTCTTCAAGAAATACACGCCCAACCCCTTGCTGGTTATTGTCGATGTACAACCGAAGGAAGTCGGTGTGCCTACAGATGCTTACTTCGCCGTGGATGAAATCAAGGATGTGAGTTTTGCATTGAATCCAAGGAAGCACCCATCAGGCCACCAGGACTAACCAAAGGCAATTTTGTACTTGCAGGATGGAACAACAACCTCCCGGACATTTGTGCACACCCCATCGATAATCGAGGCAGAAGAAGCAGAGGAGATTGGCGTGGAGCACCTCCTCCGAGACATCAGGGACGTCGCAGTCGGCACACTTTCCACCCGTATCACGTCGCAGCTGCAGTCGCTACAAGGACTGCATCTGCGGCTACGCGATATCGGCCAATACCTCCAGAAAGTTCTTGACAAGGAACTTCCCGTCAACCACGCTATTCTGGGCAACCTCCAGGATGTTTTCAACCTCCTTCCCAACCTGTCCACTCCACCGGCGACGCAGCGGACCAACGGTCAGGAGCCACAGATTGAGAACAGCGAGTTGGCACGGGCTATGAGTGTCAAGACTAATGACCAGTTGATGGCTATCTACATCAGCAGCTTGATCCGTGCCATCACGGCTTTCCACGACTTAATCGACAACAAGATCCAGAACCGACAGCAGCAAGAGGAGAGTGACACCAAGCGGGACCAGGAGGCCAATGGAACTAAGGGAGACAAGGATGTCAAGAAGGCCGGTTCGCCAAATGGCGAGCAGAAGGAGGAGCAGGATAGCTCCGACAAGAACAAGAAGAACTAAGGGACTTTTCTTAATTTATGCTCTTCTGGAAAGAATTGTCAATTCAATGAGTGAAGCCATATGACATTTCAACCAATTTTTTTTCTCCCCCTATATCTCGCCATGTATAGTGATAGCCAAGGTCAAGATCATATTAACTGTCCCAAGTTTGTCCATTTGACACAGTGAACGAAGACCTTGGTCTCTCTGTAAGGTGTTTTAAAAGTACATTGTAATAACACTGTCATTGGCGCGTCCGTCATGCAATCATCCCACCATCTTAAGGGCTCCGGGACAAGTCCCCATGCGTGGTGGGCAGCCGGACTTCTCATGCGTTCGATGACTGATTGCCCGGACAAGAGCAGATGGTTCATGTGGAATGGACAAGGGTCTGTAGTAGGACCCATTGTCATCTATGGATATCTGGGATGGTTCTCAGATGGTTTGGCAGCTCCTCATTGAAGTACATAATAATTCATACATAAATTTGTGTTGACGTGTCAAAAGCCCAGTAAATCAACCACCCCAGCCAGCACACCAGCCCGCCAATTCCTCCATGGAAACGGCGAATCTACCATCCCCGTCAACCCCGAACAGCTCAGGACACCGTGCATGCAAAATACAGGCTAGGATATGTTTGCAGGTAGGAGGTGACACCCGAGCCGTACCACGAGCAAGAGTTCCGCCATATGAGTAGGGCAACTGGTTCTGTTCGTTTGCCGGATGATTCGCCGGGAGTTGATCTCGGTATGCAGACAAGGTAAATGTAGGACAGCTGCAATTCCAGGCACGCAGCCGAACCTCATAGCCCTTTTGGGATGGGAGTGAAGGTTCCGATGCAGATATCACGATAAAAATATCCTCTGTCTCTGCACAATTTGATATAATTTGACGTACTAGTTTGCGGTCGAGGATATCAAGGGCAGGGAGGAAGTCATTTGGGAATAGACAGTGTAAAGTTAACATCAATGGTTTCAGGTTTGAAATTCCCAGTTCTGTGATGAGTTGATCAATAAAGAAGTTAGGAGTAGAATTGATATTCATATTTGAGAGAGAGAAAGAAAGAGAAAGAGAGAGAGAGAATGAAAAATGGAAAACACCCAAAAAAAAACCTCCGATATATCTGACAACCTCAACTCCCCCCTGCTCCCAATATCCCGTACTTCTTCTTCTTCACAACTTTCTCTCCAGTTTCCTCATAGTCCTTCGCTTTGGTTTTTACTTTGCTGAAGATGTTTATAAATTTCTTTTCTTTTTCTTTTTCCTTTTCAACTTCCGTCTCTTCCTCCCTGTCTCGTTTATTGTTGAGCCTATTGAAGTGCATTCCTTGAACTTCAAGATCCAACAATTTGGCCCCTTTTCCTTTATCTGCAGTCAAAGTTATCTCCAGTCGCCCTCGTTCCTTAGTCCAGTTGACTATTTCCTCGTTGTCACCCATGTCCGGACCAATAGCAGAAGTCTCTTTGGCTCCCATTTTCTTCTCCCATCCACGCGCCCATTTCTCAAACTCCTTGCGCCTCGTTTCCGCCGTGCGAGCTATGTAATTATCGAGGACCTTGGGAATGATCATATCCAGTAACTCCGCTATCCCCTCGGAATCGCTCGGGATATTGTGGCCTGGGTCTGGGGGAGGTCCATAATCAAAATTCCCGAATAAATTGGAGTTGTCATCTTGCATGTCTTCGGGGCCTGGGGTGTTCCCTCCCTCGGCTGTTTCTCCCCCAGCTGTTTCTCCCTCAGCTATCTGTACTGGTTCATCCGTGGGTAACCGGCGGTATGTAAAGAGATAACCGGTATCGAGATGGTTTGGGTAGCCTCCACGTCCTTCAGGCAACCAGTCGGTGATTTCCTGGTCATTCGCCTTGACCCACTGATCTCCTTTACCTTTAACCCCCATGCTGTAATGACCTTGTGTTACATCCCTGCCATGATGCAAGACCATTGAGGTCAACTTGTACCGGATAACTTTCCGTTTGTTACCCCAGCGTTCATCGATAAATCGGGTCTCGATATTTAACTCCTCGCTCAGATATACGCGAGTGTTGATCTTCTCGCCCATCGCACTGGTACGGTTGAGCTGAACCAAGAGAAGCTCAGGAAAACTTCCAATTTGGTCCGTGGAAGTCCTGGTGCCTCTACATTTCTCACACACACCGTAATCGTCCTGGTGATCAAAGTGCTGGGCGATGATATCGCTCAACGTCGGCTTTGCGGGGAGTTCATCGCCCTCCTCCCCGGATAAGTTGATCATCATGAATAGTTGCTGTCGTGGGATGTATTTGGGCTCACAAGGGTTTTTTCCAGCGCACTTCATCGCCATGATGATTTCGACCTGGAACATATCTTCCAAGTCTCCTTGCCTATATCCATACATCAGTCTGTGTGTGGGAGGGGAATGGAGAGAAGAACGTACATCATAGTCTTGGTGCTGCTTTTGATCGCGTTGTAAAGCACATCAAAGTACTCTGCCGGGTCTTGTTCCGAGTCTGTCCCAGCTGGTTTCCAACCTTGCAAGAGTGAGCGTGTTAGGGATCTAAAGGCAGGCTTCCAGCTTTTAGTCTCCCCTGCCCAGTAACCTCGAGCGATTGTAGCCAGTTGACAAACTTGACATTCCGTGGGACCTTCATTGGAGATGCCCAGTTTGCAAAGGTGACCCTCTGGGGCATGGTGCTCCTTGTACCACATGAGCCAATTGTAGAAAATCGGCATATGTAGAATCATTTGGAAGACGGCATTACGATAGCAGTCCACTCCGCCATTTGGAAATCCCACGGTAGTTTTGTCGGGCAGGTCGGGATGCCAATAGTTGGGGATCAATGGCTATATATTGTTAATAGTTATTCTAGGGTATTGTGTGTGGCGAGACTTACTCTCGATGTCCTTTTCTGTTCCCCAGACTTTGTTTTTTTCTCTGTCTTATCTTTCACCTCCTTATCTGAGTATACTTCTTCCACCACCTGCTCGACGTTCTCGGTGTCTTTTTTGGCCATGATAGAATCAGTGAATCAGTAAATAGATGTGATGTCATATGAAAAAAAAAAATTTAAAAATAAAAGAATTGCTTGGGAGTGCAGTTTAATTTATCTTGCATTGCAACTTGGACTTTCATTGTTTTCATCTCGAAAGAAAAGACTAGAATTCAAAGAAATCATGATCGAGCCAATAAATTCATGCTATGAGGACAGTGATCAAAGAAAGTTGAGAAATCTGTCAACTCGAGAGGCAGTCATTCATATTTCATTCAACCTTTTTAGTCCTTTCATTTTTAGATTCGAAGTTGAAGTACATTCCAAAGACACTTCCTACTCTATAAATAAAATGTTCAAAGAATTGAAAATGAGAACCTGTGACTCTATGGAAATTCTCAAATTTCGAGTCAAATTTCATTCCCGCGTTCCCCCAGTTTTGCATTGTTTAGACCAGTCTCTAGCAGTTCCTAAGTGTCTAGAACGGCAGATGTGGAGTCAAATTAAATAGACAATGATTGGCCGTATATATTCAGAGATCCGGCCGAAAGTTGTATATTATTATATATTATATATATGCTATATATATATACTTGACTTGAGAACATTGACAGCAGGGTTCCTCACATCTACCGAAGATCCACTGAAGTGATCTGTGGAACCCAAGTAGAACGAACCTATAAGCCTTTAAAGAGAAAACCCCCTGAAGCAGAAACACAAAAACCGGGGGTGTCGGATAGGATCGAGAGACGCAACGCCTCTTAAGTCATGATGATCCCGCCCTTGAAACTCCACACCGTTATTTCTTCAGCTAAGAGGCATTCCACCCTTTTTTTTTTTTTGGGAGACATCATTTTTTTCCCCCTCTATATTCCCCCTCTCGGACATAACCCGGGCATTCAAGATCATACGGTGAAGTAGCTAACGGGTGTCTGTGCGAAGCCAAGCGAGGCAACGATCGCCTTGCGAACGTTGTGATCCACCTTTGCCTCTTTTTTTTTTAACCGGAAAGTTGATAGGTAGAATTAGAGAGAAGAGTTTCAAATACCTTATATACCTCGGTATAGTAATTTATACGGAGATAATCTAATTCCCAAGGAACTCGTGTTCCCAAGCATGTGCCCGGTTTCTGGGTCCAACGGGCATGACGTGGGAAATTGGTGGAAATTGAGGTCAGGGCCTTGACAGGGCCTGACAGGGCCTTGACAGGTTAATTCCATGGTTGACCCACCAGTCCCTTAATCTGCCCCGTCGTTCCTTTTTTTTATTTTATTTTATATGTAGATCTTCAAACTTATGTGTATATATAATATTTTGTCAAATATACCTTTTTTTCCCCTATATGTATATATATGTATGTATGTGTATATATATATATATATATATATAAATATATATAGGACACCCGAGAGTCGGGAACCCGGGCCCCACAGAGCAAGGGGGAACCTTTTAAAATCCCCGACTGGTTCCAAGGTACTATGGAGTTTATATTGTATAAATTTCAAGCCGTTGATGAACTTTAGTTCTGGACCGGAGAAGACCGTCATTTAACCAAAGGATGATGCGGGTCCCCGTTTAAAATTAAAAATTAAATCAAAATAAAATTAAATAAATATAAGATAAAATACTAATTAGTACTAACAAGAGTGTATATCCATGGATAATTTAACTTGATACTATGGTACCGTTTGATCTGGAATGCCCCTCTTCCTATTCTAGGTTAGTATGAAACTCTGCAGGTCATAATATTTACAATATATACTTTCTAGAGATTCTTCACCCACTACTCCGTACTCCATATACGTATATTTATATAACAGATCACTGAGATATACCTTAAAGACCAAAGACCCTAAATCAAAAGACCTAGACCGTTGAAAGTAGGGGAATGGACATCTTTAATTAAAAAGTGGATAGTATTTTTTCTGTAACGACCGTTACCCTTAATCCCCAACGGTCTTAGACTCTTCTTTTTCTCAAGATAGGTTTAGATCAGCTGTCACTTGTTCGTTTCACATTCGGGGCTTCATATGGTTTTTCCTTTATGAGTTGGAAATCTTTCTTAGCTTCCCATACTTCCTTCCTCTCTCTCTCTCTCTCTCTCTCTCTGATATCCTGGAGATTTCGAAATTTCCCTTTTCTCTTTTCTTTTTTTTTTTACAAAATTCGATTTCTGTATTTGGAACTGGCACACCTTCCCATCTTTTTTTATTCCTCTTTGCCCCCCCTTCCCCCTCCCTTCTTGGGGCAAACCTGCTTTGTTTTTGTTTGTTTTTTGATTCTCGGTGCTCATCCGCGCATATGATTGCGTTACAAAATCGGCCTATATTGCCTCCTGTCAAAGTGGATATCTCACTACTACTCAAGCCCCAAGATGAGGAAGAAGCCGCCCCGGGTTTGAACACCGGGTACCCGCCCAGAACGATAGGGCCACTGGGATTAGGTCCCATGATGACTATGCCGGGTCCAGCCATGGCCATGCCACCCTTGACCAAGACTGGCCCGTCGGGGGCTGCCAAGCGTCTACAGCCCTCACACACATCCGAATCTCCAGCAAAGAAGCAATCCAAGTGGTCGCCAGATGAGGACGCCTTGATCATCGAACTGCGGGGCAGTGGGATGAAGTGGGAGGATATCAGCAAACGACTCCCCGGCCGCAGTGCCATCAGTTGCCGCCTTCACTATCAGAACTACCTGGAACGCCGAAGTGAATGGGATGAAGATAAGAAGAACAAATTAGCCCGTTTATATGAGAGGTAGGTTTGGAGAGAATGGTATCTGCGAAAACACAAATCTAATCTCGCATAGATTCAAAGCCGAAATGTGGTCCAAGGTAGCGGAGGAGATGGCGATCCCATGGCGGGCAGCCGAGGCCATGCACTGGCAGCTGGGAGAGCAGGAGATGGCTCGACGAGCAGGCGTAGTACCATTCTCTCTCTCAAGTGCTGCTATCGATCCCCCAACCACCAGAACACGTCGCGCCAGCACCTCTTTATCCCGCCCAAGAAAGGGATCTTCCTCACGTGCAATCCCAGGACATCTGCCCGGCCATCCACCTCAACTGCCTTCCCTGGAAGAGCTCACTGCAGGCGTTCCTGCATACGCCCCCGCTCCACCTCCCCCAAGAGAGTTCTATGGAGTTGGACGACCAGAGATGGGGATTCCCCCAGGTCTCATGGGCCCTCACCTTGGCATGCCCCCTCGGACTATGCCCTAGGATGAGATGATGAAGATGACGCCTACACGTCTTTCCTTGAGTTTTCCCCCTTCATATTTCTTTTCTTTTTTTTTTTTTTTTTTTGGCTTCCCTGTTTTCTTTTTGTGGTTTTCTGTTACGAATTGCATAGCGCCGGTTGGAGGTATATCGTGATTTGTGGGGATAGTGAATCGTATAGATGATTTCTACCCCTCGGTGTTTGTTGCGTTCTTTTTCCTTTGGCAGAAATTTTGGGGGGCCCAGCAGTGCGAATTGATATGTTTTCCCATGGCTCCGAGGCTGGCTCTCGGAGCTGCATACCGCATTTTCAAACGTCATGAGCCGTTTTGGGTGTTGCGATAGCCCACCAGTTATCTTTCTCGTACCCGGATTCTAGCACACGACCGCCAGCATTGTCGATATCACCCTCCAGCTCGCCTTCCGCATACAGGTGATAGTAGCGATGGAAAGTCTGGGGTTGATCACCCTTGCGAACCCAGGGAACCATTCGATCTTGCTCATCGCCCTTGTCCCAACCTCTACGGCTGTTCTTTTGCTCGAGGGCCCAGGCATAGATTAGGATCTTCCCACCCTCCTGCGTCTCCGAACCACGCTTCACAGTGCGCAGGATCTCGGCGACAGCTTGGACTCGCCGGGCCGGAGTGGAAAGATGGTGCACTACCGCGATGGAAATCGCAAAGTCAAAGCTTGCATCCCGGTGTGGGAGTTCAAGAATATCAGCTACCACGGTCGAATGCGGCTGGTGCTGCAGGGCAATCCGAGCCAGGTTCTCAGATCTGCCATCGGGTTAGCCCAGACCAAGCTAAAGGGATACAATGGGCGAAATGGGTATCCCAAGGAAATAAAGTCTATAGAAAAACCAAAAAATTCAATAATTCATATCAAGACATACCTATCTGAAGCAATGATAAAGACATCTCGGTTGACCATCAAGTTTTTGCCATTGCCACACCCTACATCTATCCCCACTGCGCCTGGTGCTAGGCCCGTGAGGAATCGCTCGACTATAGGCCATGGCTGGAAAAGTGGTTAGTTGGGGGACCCTGCGAAGTGGCGATAGCCAGTTTAAATCACACCTTGTAGCGGGTAGCGGAGAAATGCTGAGCAATCTCTTGGTACACTTCATGCACATTTTGCTGCTCATACGCTTCTCCTGTCTGTTGGGACGCCATGATGCTCTCGTCGTGAACAAGGTGGGAGCTGTTGAAGAGTTGAAAAGTCAAGCGAAAATGGATATCACGTGGCTCACGATTTGTAACGGGCATAATATCTACATCATATGTTGAATTTATATAGATCTATAGATTCAAGTATCAAGCTTGAATCATTTCCAGTTTGACTGCCTTGGTTTTTTTATCTATTGGAAAATACATAAAAGCAATTGCTTATTAAAAAAATAGGGTTATCGATATTGAAGTATGAACACTGTTCCTATTATAATGCAAGTTACTATGTTATGATATACTCCATAGTATAAAATCTATTGCACAATATGTTGAAAAAAAGCCTAAACTATGATGGGCCTGGCTTTAACGATAGGGCTAGAGTTGACTCTGTTTGAGAGAGGTAACTAGGACTGTATTCTGAACGATAGTCCACGTAGTAACATTATAATTTCCCAGTTCGAGATTAGTACTTAGATACATATATTTAGTATATATATTCTGTATAGGTAACCTTCAATCATAATAAGCTACGACTCGTTTTATATATATATATATATATCAATTTCCTACAGAATGTCGACTTACTTCGACGCCCTACTTTGATATCCCGTTCACGCAATTGTTTCTCTACATAAACTGCACCGAAAAGTAAGTTCTTAGTTTCACCTTGTCTGTAAAACATATATTATTTGCCAATTCCATTCTCGACTGTGTTGGCGGAGACCGCTTACTAATAATTGCTTCTTCGAGGGGCGATATCCCTTTTCCTGTCAACCACAGGGAAACACAAGGTCAATTGTAAGTACTAGTTACCCTACCCCATTTAAGGATTGTCCCTTCTAGACTAGGGGATGTTCCTGTCGTCAACTGTCAAATTGCCCTGACAAGTGTCCGCAGCTTCTTGTGAGCCCCTGGGAATTTGATAGCAATTTAGCAATGCTGAATGCATAGTCTGTTCTTGTTTTTTTTTCCTTTTGTTACTCTAAGAATACGGAATCTTGAATCTAGCTGTCTGATTTTGATTTCGATTTTTCTTTGAATGTCTCAATTGCGTTGATTCACATCCCACTCTAACACTTCTTTTTAGAAACACGAAAACACAAGTGATAGAGACAAGATGGCATTCCAGCCTACCCCGATGGATATCTCCGTCATTATCACCAATGCGGCTTTAGCCAAGCCCGGGAATTCGGAGCCTCGATTCCTGACTGAACGTCGCATCACCCCAACCTGGACGGTGATGCAGGTCAAGGCAAAGCTGGAGACTATGACGGGAATCCCACCAGGGTGTCAGCGCCTGCGGGTAAAAGTGCCCGGTCGACCCGATCAATGGGCCGACGGGGACGACCGCCTGATTGGGGATTGGGGGTTGGTGAAGGGGTCGGAGATCGAGGTTGGTTCTCTTTTCTATATTTTGCTGGAAGAGGGGGGTGATTTGATTCTGCGGTGACTGCTTTACTGAACCCAGAACGACGTGCCTACTGATTCGAGCTATCAGCACAAGAGATTTATACTACAAATCATGACCATATGCTGATTTGTATCCTCGCCAGGTCAATGACAGCCGCCCACAAACCATGCGGGCTAACTTCACCGACTTGTCATCGGTCGAGAAATATGTGCTGCCAACTGAAACGTACGAGGCCCGTTCGGACTCTGTCTTGGCTTGGAAGAAAAACCAGAAGCTGGGCCGATTTGATCCTAACGCTCTATCACCCGAAGAGGCTCTGCGTCACCAAGTTGAGAAAGACCAGACCGAGGTTCAAACGAGAGGTTCGTTGAAACAAACTTTCCAAGTGTCAATACGATTTCTTTTCGTCATTAATCTAATGACATGTTGGCAGGAATCACTGTTTCGAAACGAGCTATCGTTCTGCCTTCATCTCCGCCGCATATTCGACGCGGCACGATCCGCTTCGTTGGACCTATTCCGACTATTCCTATTACCGGTCCGGGCCGCGAGCTGCAACAGGATGCAGAACTTCCGGCAGATTTCCAGCCAATCTGGGTCGGGATCGAGCTTGATGAGCCGATGGGGAAGAACGATGGTAGGGTGGGTGGACAGCGCTACTTTGAATGTTTAGGCAACAGGGGCATCTTTGTGAAGCCCGAAAAGGTTGAGGTCGGAGAGTTCCCCCCGTTGGGTCTAGACGACGACCTAGATGACCTTATGGAAGAGATTTGATACACTGTATGTATATTTTGAATACATTTCGATATTTTGGAATGAGGTTCTGATTCCCAGCTTCTCTCAGTTGCTCTTCCTTCCATCACCAATTATCACCAATAGATATTGCATAATTAACTGGAGAAACAGGCGGCAAGAAAACGCCAAATTCCCTGGTAATCGTATGAAAACAAATCGCTGAAGAACGAATAACAGTAAAAGACATTCAGACGCCCACAAAATAAAATTTCAGGGTATCCACGTAGAAGAAAGGTATCATGGCGCGTTGTCAATGCCTACAAACATGAGAACAGGAGTGGAGGGCAGAGCTAGGAAGTGATCATTTGCCAGCCTTCTTCTGTTTGCCCTTGGGGCGACCCTTGGCTTTCTTAGCAGGGACATGAACAGGAGCGGTGGGAGTGTCGGCTTCAAATTCGCTCTCAGGGCCGGCATCCTGAGACATCTGCGGTGTGTCGTCTTCATTCTCGTTCTCATCGGGGACACAGCCTTGTGTGAAGAAAAGACGAGCCTCTTTTTGATGGGTGTTTGCAAAGCTGTAATAGTTACCTAGATATGGGGGGTTGGTGTTAATTAACTGATACGAATCAAGGAGACAGACGAATTGCGACTCACCCCGAGGAACTTGGAAAACACAACCCTTTCCGGCACTAAACTGGACACCCGAGATATCCACTTGGACACGCCCGTGACAGACATAAAAGACCATGTGCATTTTCTTCGAGTTCTTGGGTTTCTTGACTCCGTCGGGTGGGAGCTCCACAACTCCAGACCCGATGAATGACGAGCTAAGCAGCTTTGCAAATCGGAATGTTGAGTCTTTAACTTCTCTGGTTTCGATTCCAGAGGGAGCATATGCAATGTCTGCAGACTTAGTAAAGGAACCAACTACAACAGGGTTGGAGATCATACCTAGAACTTCCTCCTCCTTCGAACTGGTCTGTGTTTTCCCGTCCCATTTGAGGGTGTAGCCATGAAGAACACCGCCTTCCTTCTCCCAGAGATCAACATCCTCATCCTCGTCTGAACAGTCATCCCTTTGTTTCTTAGACTTAGATTTGTGGGACGTTGAACGTTTCCCCTTCTTCTTCTTTTCAGGCTCTTGCTCCTCGGTGCGAATGACCTCTTTGATGGTTGAAAGAGGGTATCGATGTCCCTCGGCTGCCTCCCCATCACCGAAGACACATCGTTCATTGCGCCAGTATGCTAGTGGTCGGACGGAAACTCGCCCAGATCGAGTGTGAGTCGCACTGTTGTCGGTGGGATTCTCACGTTTGAGAATATACAAACTTCGGCCTTTCAAGGGACCTGTGCGGTTGGCGTAGTTCTCAACCACTCTATCTAATTCCGGCTCCAAAGGTTCACGCACCGGTGGAGATGCTTTGGTGGTGTTCCGCTTTTTGGTTGGCCTGGGGTCGGCATCTTCTTCAACGTTACGGCGCTGAGACTTTGGACGTCCGCGCGGCACGGGGGTTTCGCCTGACCCTTATCTGCCTTGGCAATCTTTGGCGCGGCCTTCTTTGTTGGCTTGGAGGTCACAGCGGGTTCTTCGCGAGGCGGAGTTGTATCAGCCGTAGATGAATTGTCGTCATGATCGTGTTGGGTTTGCCCGGGAGAATCGGGTGCTTCCTCTGCAGAAACTGAATCAGAATCGACATTCAGACTGTCATCGATATCTTGTTGTACTGCGGCGAATGCATTCGCGTTCTCGTCGCCGTCGGAATAGTCGGAAAAGTCATGTATGACTGCGGGCTCAAATTCTGCTGCTAGCTGTGCTTTTGTCGTGGGTTTTTGCCGTGTGCCGTTCCTTTGGTTTGAGCGACCAACGTTTACTGATCGAGTGGAAAGTGGAGATGGATCTTGACGCGATTCTCCCTGTGCGCCCGCGAAACCTTTGCCGTCGGATGGACTAGACGACTCCAGAATATCTTGCGGGTCTGGAGTTGATTGCAACGCCGGAGTCCTCCGTGGGGACCCAGTGAGGCCATTCTTCATCGGCGACCGCGCAGCAGGCGGGGGGAGAAAAGAGGTACGTGGGCCATTTGTGCCCTTGAGGAAGTCCATGGGATCTGGCGCATTGCCTATAGAATTTGCATAAGCACGCAATGAGTCGACAGGTTAAGGTAACACGAGATTAGCCCACCTTCATCCATCGACATGCCCTCGGACCCAACTGAGGAGTCATTTTCCACGTCTTCAAACCCATTCAACTCGACAGACGACTTTTCAGGAGATGAGAAGAGACCGTCTACTTCTTCCATTCCATGTTCGTCGCGTCGACCCTCTTTTAGAGATATTCCAGTGCGCCTAGATGTACTTAGTATAGAGGTCCCCTGGTGAAATTGACCATGACATATCGACTCACCTTCCCTTGGTTCCCACATTGGAGTAGTCGAAGTCGCGGGCCTTTCCGGGCCCTCGTGCCATATTGAAAATTGAGCGCCAGGATAGAATAGCAATTCAAAGAGACCAAAGATAACGAGAGATTCAAGAAACGTAGTCAAGAGAGACACAAAGTGGAGGAATGCGGAATTTAGGCGGGAAGAGCAACACGCGCCCCCCCCCCCGCTAATCCCGAACAGTCGACGCGTTCACTCGGGAGATCTTTTGGGAATTTCCTATTGTACCTTCACTCTTCTTCTTCTTATAAAACAGACTTGTACAATCTTCATATATGCCTATTATGACAAAGGATACTCCAGTCAATCCTCTCAAGGAATCCTCGACCTTTATTCCTCCTAGTGTGATTTCAGAACCCCTTCTGTCCGGCGAATCCTATGCGTACTACACCCCATGCCCAAACGCAATCACGCCCCAAGAGACCTCACCCACGATTCATGATACAGCTAAGAGTACACCATGTGTTTTGGGCGTCGATGAAGCCGGCCGTGGTCCTGTCCTAGGGCCAATGGTCTACGGTGCCTTCTATCTTCCTCTGGATCTCCATCACTCGCTTTTGACCGAGAAGCACAGCTTTGACGACAGCAAAGTGCTTACTCCTGCCGTGCGAGCAAACTTGATGCATTTATTGAACACACCAGGGGACTCGTTGTTCGAGTCTTGTGGATATGCGGTCAAAGTACTTTCGGCACGCGACATCTCTTCCGGCATGATGCGATCACCCACCGCAGTATACAATCTGAATGCCCAGGCCATGGACGCCACAGTTGAGATTATTCGAGGGGTAGTTGAAGACCTTGGAGTGGATGTGCGAGAGGTGTACATTGACACGATTGGGAACCCCGCTACATACCAGCAAAAATTGGAGCGAATCTTCCCATCTCTCAAAATCACAGTGGCAAAGAAGGCCGATTCCTTGTATCCCTGTGTCAGCGCCGCCAGTGTGGCAGCCAAGGTGACACGAGATGTTGCACTGGAAGTCATGTATGAGGCGGTGATTCAGGCTGAGCAGTCACTTAGCCCAGCCCCCGAGACCTGGGGAAGTGGTTATCCCTCAGACTCCAAGTGCGTCGGCTGGCTTCGACGCAACATGGACCCTGTGTTTGGATGGGGCAACGAGTGTCGATTCAGCTGGGGCACTGCGAAGGAGATGCTTGAAATGAAGGGAGGAGCACGAGTCGACTGGCCCGATGAAGAGGAGGAAGGGGCACCTCGGCTGGATGAGTTCTTACTATCATCAGCCCCCGGGAAAAGCACGGGCAAGGTTGGATTACGGGATTGGTATGGCCACAGACAAACTGAGGTTCTCTGAATGCGAATGCTCCGTGTAATGCGAGTAGACATGAAACTTAATAAAACATTAATGATACCCCTTGCGCTTCCTTGACAACGCACATCAAGAGTGAGAACAAAGGAAAGATGGAGTAGCAAGTCCAACCGCAAATGCCGTAAAAAGAGATAAAAAAAAAAAAAAAAGACTCGTACATGGATATAATGGGTATCATGGTGAAGCAGAACTGGGCTCATCTGTGGAAATTCACAGCGTAGCAGTCGAGAAGTAGAAGTTGTCCCACAGGTATTCATAGTCCTCCACAACACTGCCCACCAAGTCCAACAATGGCTTGCCTTTCATCTTTCCAGTTATACTGTGTAGCCAAGACCTTTTTAAAAATGTCAGTATTCAATCGGGAACCCAAAGATGATAGACTCGGGATTCTTACTTGGTGATGTTTTCATAAAATGCGCCTCGCATCATCCACCAGCCCATTGACCATCCACGCTTCTTCAACTCCTCTCGCTCAAGCCCTGTGAGTCCTCGAAGACCGCCAGCAACCCGTTCACGGAAGTCCCGCTTTGCGAGCTGACGGCAGCCATACTCCATCCCAAACCCAATAAGCCATGGCCGCCAACTTCGCTTATCACCCCTCCACTTTTGCATCGCCATTGCGTAGACAACAGGTCGAAGGATGTATAGCACTTCAGCTAGCTGTCCTTGTCCTGTTGCCCGATGGAGGAGTGCATTCGGGGGTTTGATATCATCTGCCGTAAGCACTTTGGAGATGAGATAGTTCGACACATCGTTTACGTCGGGGAGAGACGGAAGGGAAAGTCCTGTGCGAGGCATCGTCCAACTCAAGTCTGAAGACCGCTCGCTGACTGGAGTGTCCATTCCGTTCCAGTCACTCTGCGGTTCCTCTTCCTCTGTCGTCCTTGGATCTACCTCGCGCTCTGGAAGTGGAGGACTGACGAGTGGCCTGGAGTTGGTCAATCGTAGAAGAAGCAAGCGGCAGACTGCCTTTGCGAATTCAATAAAGACAACCACGCGCCAACGGGTTTTCTGTCCGCGCCGCCGCGCCGCCATCTCCCAGAGAAGCTCGGTATACTGGAGCATTTGTAGCGCAAGAGCTACCTGACGATACAGCGAGGAGCGAGAGGTCCAGTATTTAGTATACCGGGAATGAGGAGTGGGCGGCGGCCGGGGGACAGTCGATGGAAGTTGATCAACGACTCGCGAGACGAGAGAGTCATGGTATAATGATAACAACTGGACACCGGAGTGTACTGCAGGGGTATCAGCACGCGCGCTCGAAGGCAAGTACAATGTTACACTAACCACATTCTGAGGGTATCTCTGATTCGCGGTATCGCCCTAGTAGGAAATATTTGTTAGATTATTCAACAGCTCGTTATTGCGAATGAGAACTCACCTGGGATGATATAAGTCAAAGACCTCAGCGCTGACTCGACTTGACCGACCGAGCTGGCATTCTTAGTCACAAAGTCTTCATAGATAGAAAGCCATTTGGAGGGTTGCAAGAGCACCGGTGGTATTGGATTCTGAATATTGCGAACGGTTTCCATCTTCAAGTATCAAGCATGTTGGAGATAGCTGTGACGAAGGAAATGAGATCCGGGGGACGGGAGGTTACAGGGGGGCACGTGGTCCCGCTTCCGTGTCTGCCAAGACGCCTGGGCCGAGGTTCACGGCCTTTTCATACACGTACGGAGTATTATATTCACATACTTTTTATCATATTGAGATCTATTAAGATCTATGCATTGCACATGAACCGATAGTTTCAGATATATTTTATGATGTCTTCCCAGTCATAGAGTAATATCGAATAGGTTATAGAAATATGTTTGTCTCATTCATCCGCCCACGTCCATAACCCCCCAGGGCGCATAGCCTCTCGATATCGCTCTTCCACTTTCTCACGCTCTAACCTCTTGGCAGCTTCAAGGTCGTCTTCCCCCTCCTGTGTATCTGGCATGTCAGTTCGCCAGAAGCCAGGAGGGGACTGGGCCCGCTGGTGAGTATGCCGATGTCGTCCATATTGGTTGGCCAGGGCCCTGGCTCTCGCTTCCACCAGGAGATTTTCACGCTCTTTGCCGCTGGTATTTCGAAGCAATTGTGTATCTTCTCCCACAAACTCTTGTAGAATCGCCTGATCTTCTTCCTCTTGCGCTACTCCGGATTTACCGGGGAGGCCCCCAAGGCGGGCCATGGCCCGGAACCGATCACCACAACATCCTGGGCGAGTACAGCCTGATATGCATTTGCGGTCATCCTTCTTTCGGACAACTGCATCATATGCGTAATCTAGCCCTTGATTTCTAGCCGGATTGATTTTGAAATGCCCCAACCCAAGGCGATGAAGAGGCCTTGCCCTGAATGGTTCATCATCGGGCTCTATATCCGGGACCATTTGACTCGACATATCAGCCCTTGTTTGACCACTCTGGGGTGCATCGTTCGTCATTGTTAAATCCGGGCCGGAGACTTTGCTCGACAAACGAAGTGGTGATTTGGAGGGTACCGATTGTTCTAGAAGATTTTCTAGACGTCTCTGTGCAAATCCACCTTTGTTCTTTGCCTCCGAAGGTCCGGGATTGACACCGGAGCCAACCTTCGAGGATATCCGTAAGTTTGTCGCATCGTCGCCGTCTTCTGCCAGAGCTGGTATTGCGCGTCGCCCCAGATCTTGAAAGCGTTTCGCGGAAGAATTCTGTGCAGAAAATGCGGCACTGCGTGTGTTTCCGTCAACCGGTTGGAGTATATGTGACTGCTGAGGTATTTGCTGGCCTGGTGTTATCCGCGTTGAGTGATGTGCGTTACTTGTACTGTTCTCGGAATTCCAAGCGTTTGCAATATTGACATCCCGATAGGCTTTCCGTTTCATTGGTGTTCGTATCGTGTCCCCTATCTCATCAAGATCTTGCGTGCTTACGAATGGCGGTTCACCGTTATGCATTGCACCTCGGGTTGGACTCGAGGACAAGATCTCGTTTTTGACAACTGCAGGGTGCTCCGAGCCGATGATCGCCCGCTGGCTGTGCACGAGATTCCTGCCGGGACGTGTCGGTGAAAAACTCTGCTGATTTTGCTGTTGGGGGACATTGGACATGAGACATATTGTATCAGAAGATTCCGAGGGTTCCATATCGCGTCTAGGAGAGCCAGACTGAGTGGATTCTGACTCTGATGTTGGGCCGTGAATTATTCTTTGGTTATCTTCTTCAACTTTCATATTTGCATGCACATCATCTGCACGGGTCGTTTTTTGCGACAGCTTAATGGCCTTGGCTGGAAGATCTGGACGTTGTTCTCTTGGACGTTTCTTCGAGGAGGTTTGGGCCTGCGAGTGTTCTTCGTCAACGTCCTCGGGAGTGGGACTTTGCACTCTACGGAATGTGACGGGTTGGCCATTGAGAACAAGCGAGAATTCTTCACGCTCTAATTGCTGATCCCATCGCCGTAGCTTCTTTTTATGCTGCAACACCCGGGATTTGAGACCACTCCAAGTTTGGATTAACGTCTGTAAATTTGTATAAAGCGCGGTGTATTTGGCCTCAACTCTTTTCCGGGACTTCCGAAGATTGTGATGGTCACCATCATCCAGGTCACCCCCCCACAGGTTCTTCGGGTCAAATTCGGTCTCTAGATTGGCGTATTTCCCGGGAAGTTCAAGATCCCGTGGATCAATTTCATATTGTTGCAGCTCACTCCGGAGTACCGAAATATCACGCTGAAGCTCTCGGATTCTTGTCTCTGATTGTCGCTGGGCTTGATTAGCCAGTAATTCTTTAATTTCTGCCTCTTTGGCGTGTGCATCAATATGGGATTTCATGTGCTTATAGGCATTGTCGAATGAGGCCTCACAGGCATTTGCCACAGCAGCGTGGAGCTCCTTGACAACTTCCATTGTGAAGTTTCTAGTGTATCATGAGAGAAGGAAAGAAACAACAAACTTCCCCGTCTCAGACAGAGCGATATAAACGCGACGCGTCGAGGCCAAATGGGCACACGTGAGCTTATCACTTACTGATAAGATTCCCCCGGCCCACCTGCAATTCCCTCAACCACTGCGTTCCTCCGAGTGCGCGGAATGATTTCTCTGATTCCTTGTACTAGTCTCCTTGCAAATATTTAACCTGAGACAGGATGCCAAAACGGTGCAGAGACCACCGAGACTCCGATCTACCCCAAAAGCGTATCCGTACTCGGAACGATACTGGGCCTATTGATCGTCTGTCTCGTCTGAGCAATGAGCTGCTGCTCCATATCCTTTCATTTTTACCAGTATCATCCCTTAACGTGTGTCAAAGGTATATATACTCCCATTATGGTCAGTTCTTCTCAGGCGTTTTGCTGACTTGCTACGCCCAACCAGGTTATCACATCGCTTCCATGCTCTTGGTGGGGACTCTGAGATATGGAAAAGGCAGTACTACTCGCAATGGGTGCGGCCCCGTGCCCGCCGTCTCGCAAATATTAGACGCACAACCCTTCCAGCCAAGACAGATTATTCGCCCAAGGTCGCAACATGGTTCGATCATGGGCACTTGGCACAGGAGGGCAATTGGAAACGGCAGTATCGGCTCCGGCATAATTGGTCCAAAGGGCTATGCCGGGTTACCGAGGTAGAGTTTCCTCAGCCACCATGCTCTCCTACGCTGGTCAGGTTTTGTGCTGGAGTTGTCTTCACGGCAGACTCGGCACACGGGCTCCGGGCGTGGACCACAAGAGACTCGGCATGTTGTCTTGCAAGAATTCCTTTGTCAGCTCCATCGAAATCATCTATGATCCCAACCGCCTTGGCAGTAAGCCAGATCCAAGATAAGATCGAAATCTCCGTCGGACTGGAAGATGGTCACTTCAGCCTCTTCGTCTTGAATCTTCAAACGTCCCAGCTAGACTTGCAGTCCTCTCATGTCGGCTCCAGTGATGCTGCTATAACAGCAATGGCACTCTCGTTGCCGTATTTAATGGTAGTATCCCAGCACAAAGATTTGACCCTGTACAATCTGCGACCTGGCAGTCATCAAGCAGGAGAAACCGAGATCTTTGAACCCCGCCAGGTTGCCTCCCTCAAAGCAGATAACATCGTTGCACCCATGACACTATCTCTTAGAGTGTCATCCTTTGAAATTGTCGCTACTATTGTGTATAGTTTCTTCCACATCGGCTGTGGGTGGTCTCTGGGGATTCAAGAATTGCGTCTAGGCAAAGATGGGCAACAACTTGATTCGCGACTGGCTACTACGGTGGATTCCCAATATGGATTGAGGCCACTTCAATCCCGAAAAAGGCGACACTCTGCCGAGTCTGTCGACACTCAACCTCCTATCACCCCCGGGGCACCGTCTATCCTACATCAACAGCCGCCAACCTCTATGTCCTATTCCCATCCGTATTTGCTGACCTCTCATGCCGACAACACGTTGACTATGTACCTTGTGGTATCTACATCGGACAGTTTGTTCGTCCAAGGCGGCCGGCGACTTTGGGGTCACACCTCTTCCGTATCTGCGGTTCAAGTGACCAACCGCGGGAAAGCCGTCTCTGTAAGCTCTCGGGGGGATGAGATTCGAATATGGGAGTTAGAGACGGCGATATCATCCCTAGGCCGCAAATTCTTCGAGGAGAACGGCGTTCAGCTCAACGCTGAAAACAAGGAGCCAGGAAGGATTTATCACGATTTGGGAAGTGTAAATGTGCAGGAATTGACCCTACCTATCGGATTTGATGAAGAACGGGTACTTCTTCTTCGAGAAAAGACCGGAACACAACTACTTGAATGTTATGACTTCACTTAACATGTATATGTGAGTATAAAAAAAAAGAAATGGACCAATAACCCCGGGTAGCACAAGGTACTCATTGGGGACCTTGGACAGTCTATATATATCAAGCCTATTTTCAATCCTCACTTTATAAATCTCATTTTTCCTATAGATTTCAAAGTGACATAGAAAATGAAAAAAAATGAGAAATTCAAGACATCAGGGCGGTCAGCTTTTACGAGCGGGAAGAATTTCTCCCCCGCACTACAATATTATTTTTTGAGACTCTTCAACTTGCTTTTTTTTCTTTCTTTTATAAAACTCATACCTTCCCCCCTTATTCAAATATGGACTTCCCTCCTGCTGGACGTGGTGGCTGCTTCAACTGTATGTTCTTTCTCTTCGAGTCAACTTGAAATCCCTGCCAATACGTCATTCACTTGGAAGCTTAGCTTGGTGATATCTCTTTTTGCGCAAAAATTGATACATCTTCTTTTTTTCTATATAATTTTTTTTTTACTAACGCTCTTCATAGGCGGCGAGGCCTCTCACCAGGTAAATCACCTTTATCTGACTGAAATTTCTCTTTCTGGATAGAATTGAAACTTACCTACTCTTTATAGGCCAAGGACTGCCCTAAGAAGGGAAACCCTACCTGGTAATTCCTCTCATTGACTCAATTCACACAAAAGCTAACTGTAAACCTCGGATAGCTACAACTGCAATGGTATGATCCTCTCAACATTGTCCACGAATGACCCTTAGACATCTGGGCTGGTTATATGAACTTTGCTAATCAAGTCAAATATTACAGGCCAGGGTCACTTGAGTAAGTTGGAAACCTGAATATCACAGACTCTGAACTTAACTAACATTTCAAAAAAAAAGGCCGTGAATGCCAGGAGCCTGCCAAGGAGAAGTCATGCTACCGTTGCGGCCAGACTGGACATCTTTCCCGCGAATGCCCCCAGGGCGGCGACAGCAACTACAGTGGTGGTGGTTCCCAGGAATGCTACAAGTGCGGACAGGTCGGCCACATTGCACGTAACTGCTCTCAGGGTGGTAACTATGGCGGTGGTTACAACGCTGGTGGTAACTACGGTGGTTTCGGTGGTCCCGGTGGTGCCGGTGGTCGCCAGCAGACCTGCTACTCCTGCGGTGGCTTCGGCCACATGGCCCGTGACTGCACTCAGGGTCAGAAGTGCTACAACTGTCAGTTATCTCTTCCACTTTCTGGGAATTTGCTACTAACTCATATTAGGCGGCGAAGTCGGCCACGTCTCTCGTGACTGCCCCACTGAAGCCAAGGGTGAGCGCATGTGCTACAAGTGCAAGCAGCCCGGTCACGTTCAATCCGCTTGCCCTAACTAAGATGCTCCCATTGCATTGCTCTTTTGGTCAACATCTTTCTGCAGTTTCCATGGGATTGGACGACATTTTTCATGCATGCACGAAACGAATTTCTCTTTTTTTTCCTGAAAATGTATGATTAGAGATCAACACCTGCCAAGGTTGACATGATCTTAACTTTTGATACCTCCTACCTAGGTTGTTTGGTAATTCTCGGGTTTTATAATAACGCGTATAAAATGTGAAGTAGGGAAGCCTGGCAAATACTCGTATTTGCATGTTTTAATTACTCTGAGCCTATCTCTCCTGGATTGGAGTCGATGCATCGTTTGCTATGTAGCTCAAATCGGTTTCTGATTTCTAGTATATCACACATGCTCGGCTCCCAGAGAGTTGAGATCCGCGTAGCGCTCCTAGCTTGATTACGAGCTGCAACTGCACATCATAGCCCTCTTGTACTTGGGAACATCCCCACAGAAACGCTCTTCCTCTTCCTTGTGAAGACCCCATTCTTCGTTGAACGGGTTCAAAGCCATCTGCATGACCCGGTCTAGAATATCTCGGTCTCCTTTGCGCTCCACGCGCTCGATGACCTCGTCAAGAATCCACCCTCGAGGCACAAACTATCAATGGGTCAGACAATCTGTACCGGATCTGAAAAGAAGATTTTAACAGATACTTACATTCGGGTTGACGGATTTCATGGCCTTCTGTCTTTCCTCGTCGTTTTCGGGGCCCCAGTCCTCTAGAACACGAAGCCGCCAACTATCCAGCCATTTCGCAATGCGATCTCTAGCTGTAGCCTCGGTGTATCCAATCCCACCGAACCCTTCGGCATGGAAGAACGTCGAGGCTGCCTCCCTTCGGCCTTCTTCGGTCTCTAGATCGGATAGTGGTAGCCCTGAAAGCCGGCGGAAGAAGTGGTTGAAGTCCAATTCGAGTGCTTCAAGTGTGTCTAGCATCTCCGAAAAAAGATTCTGGAAGTCCGACTCGGCTTGCGTTTTGAGTCCTAGCCTCTGGCCCATCAAACGCTTGTATTCGCTTAGGAACACTGCTTTGAACTCCTCGCCCACACGCTCAATGATTTTCTCCGCGCGTTTGATGAGCTCCGGTTCAAACTCCTCCGTTACTCCATCGTTGACAAAGCTTTCGTCGTCAACCCGATTTCCGGCTCCAATCAACTCACCTAGTGACTCTCCCAGTCGGACCAAATTCCACCAGATAATGCTGGGTTGATTGCGATAGGCATATCGCAGCATGTGGTCATCATGATTCGGGGTGTACTGGGGATCAAAGTTGTCCATAAACGCAAAAGGGCCGTAGTCTAGCGACAAGCCGTAGATGGATGTGTTATCAGTGTTCAGCACGCCATTCATGAATCCGTAGGCCTGCCAGGCGGCCACTGTCGTTGCATTGCGGCGAGCGATTTCTCGATACAGTCTAGCAAATCGATTCTCCTGTACATCCTCGTATTCTTGTACTTGATCAGCAGCGATACCCCTTTGTGGAGTATCAATTGGCATGGAAGACTGCTGGTCACGCAGCGATACAATCGCGGGAAGGGATTCCCACCCGTTAAAAACGTCTTCTGCAACATACGTCGCAAGCTTCCTGGTCAGCTCACGTTCTCCGCGAACGCGAAGAAGATCAAATGTGCCTATTCTTAACCAAGACTCGGCAAATCGAGCAACAATTGCTCCTGGTTCAAGACGCTCTCGCAATACCTTGGCATTGGGGACCAAGGTGAGTGAGAGTGCCCGAGTGGTTGGTATACCAAGGGCGGAGAGAGCTGGCAATGTTTTAGTGGTCTGTTTTCGGATTTCATACGGGTTTGCTTACCTTCTGAGACCACGTATTCACGGATACTTGACCGGAGGACAGCTTTGCCGTCGGCGAAACGCGAATAGGGTGTTTTGCCTGCTCCTTTCAGTTGCAGCTCATACCGCCTATTTGTCTGAGGGTTGGTGCATTCAAAGAGACTGATTGCACGCTAATTTGTCGGCTATTAGTATCTCTAGTAGACTGAGGTCTCGATTGCATGTCATTATTAACTTACTCCGTCTCCAAGTTGTCCGGCCCATGAACCACTGCAGGTTGTCAGCTGTTGACATTATATCTCCAATTCCTTTCGTAGCTTACAATTGCCACCCTGCGCAGATTAGTCTCTTTAGATTTCCCATGCATGACAACGTGGATCTACTGACCTCCATAACACTGTGCCCATGGGTAGATTCCACCTTGTTCCTCGTCCCACCAAATATTATTCCCAGCGACCAGCGCCTTGAATTGTGACGTTTGTTCCTCACCTGGTTTCAATCCCAAGTCTTTCATCGCTTTCGAACTGACTCCTAGTAGTTCTGGCTCATTGGTCTGCTCTGGGCGGACATATGTGAACAAAGCTCCTTTGACCATGCGAGGCCCCAAAGATTCCCGTGGAGCCTTATGCGAGGATTCTGGTGTATCAAAAGCCGGATCAGGGGGCAATTTAGATGTGAAAACATTTGATTTTGGTAATTCAGCCAGGGAGATCCCGGCAGTGGAAAGATGTGATGCCATCTGGTTTAAACGATTCCAAACCGGCGGACGAAAGTTCCGTGGAAACATATACCAATTTCTTGAACACGCGGGCACGCGGAAGTTCATAGAGAGACCTAGTAATATCTCAAGGATATAAGTGAAGTTGAAGTAACGAGGGACGGGTCAAAAATGACATAATTGACATTATTAATCATTGTTCAGGTCCACCCGTGGACCTTTTGTGTAAAGGTACGCTGAGCTGGTCGATCCACCTTACAAGTTCTCATCCTATATTATCATTCTAATATCTTTGAAAATGGCAACCATTTCGTCTATTCCTACATTGGATCTCAATGACGGTACCTCGGTCCCTATCGTGAGTAACCCCCACCGTATCCCCGTATAATAGAGGCAATGTGTTCTCTGACAAAAATACAGGTTGGATATGGCACTGGCACCGCGTGGTTCAAGAGGTCTGGGGACAGCAGTATCAATCAGGAATTGGTTGACTCAATCAAGACGGCAACGAAACTAGGATACTTCCACCTCGATGGAGCTGAAATCTACCAGACTGAGGAGGAACTGGGACAGGCAATCAAAGAGAGCGGGGTAAATCGAGAGAAACTTATCGTGACAACCAAGGTTATCACCAATATCGCCGATATTCCTCAGGCCATTGATACCAGTCTTAAGAAGCTCCAGCTTGACTATGTGGACCTGTAAGTGAACTCCATGGTGTGAGTTAATGACTCACCGGGGAACCGCTGTTAATAATTTGACCAGGTACTTGATCCATGCTCCATACTTTGCAAAGTCGGAGGAAGAGCTTCAATCAGCCTGGGCTGCCATGGAGCGAGTAAAGGCATCTGGGAAAGCCCGATCCATCGGCGTGTCCAATTTCCTACAAAGTGATTTGGAGACCATTCTCAAAACTGCCAAAGTGGTGCCATCTGTGAATCAGATTGAGTTCCACCCTTACCTTCAACATGGCAATCTTGTTCCTTACCAAGAGAGTAAAGGTATCAAGACTGTTAGTTATGGGGGCCTCACCCCTGCCACCCGGGCTCAGGGTGGGCCATTGGACCCTCTACTCTCTTCCTTGGCCACCAAGTATGGTGTCAATCAGTCCGAGATCCTGTTACGTTGGATCATTGACCGTGGCTGTGTGGCTATCACCACGAGTGGCAAAGAATCCCGACTGAACAGCTATTTACGGGCATTCACATTCAAACTGACACCTCAAGAAGTTGATGAATTGTCATCCCTAGGGGATACATACCATTACCGTGCATTCTGGCGAGAGAAGTTTGCAGAGGATGATCGTTCCTGAATGCCGAGGAAGTTTGAATGTATCAGAACTATTATATAGTATTCATCAATGGATATATTGTACCTTGGACTGTATGTAATGAAATTGTATGGTAACGATAAGCCGATAAGCAACAGGCACCACGGGTAACCTCACGTAACCTTCTCCAACTCATCTTCTTTCATTCTATCCGGGGACATTTCCCATAGCTCCTTTATGGAAATCACTCTCATTGTGACACATCCCACTTTCTCTTTGTTATCTCGCCTGTGTTTATCTTTTTCCAATTGCGCGGCTTCAAAATCCTAGGGTTATGGGAACACCCCCCACGCGACAGTGATAGGATGCCCTGATTATTCGGCACCTGAACAAGGCCGGATATTGTACATCCACTATCCTTCATTTGACTCAATGCGTTGACGATCACCAGGCAACTCGCCATACCGACTAGAGAAACAGGACTCGGTGATAGACTACAGCCCAAATTGTGCTTGAAGCGCGTATGATACTAGCATCTCTTGTGGAAGCACAAATCGCGAAACCCTGCGCACTGCGATGTCGGTGAACGAGAAACGCCATTCCCAAACCACCACAACCCCCCGAGCTGCGAGTTCCACCACGTCAGACCGTGAAGTGCTTGACCAACGATTGCAGCGCCTCTCCGACGACGTCCTCCCGCCCGTTCCATATTTACTCACATTTCCGACCAAAACACCCTTTAACCTGGGGAACCGGTCCGCCAACAATTGGGCTGTAGGGCATGACAGACCCTTCAGCTTGGAGGAGCAGCAACTACAATATATGACCTTCTTGACACACCACGACACAGATTCATTGCTTCTAGCGGTCGGGGACTGGTCAGACGAAACGGGGCGCATGATGGCCGATCGATCAACAGCCCCAAGCGCTAGAGAAAGTTCAAGAGAAACCGTGGCCAAAAAGAAGATTAGTCTCAAGGACTACAAGACTCAGAAGACCAGTGGCGCTGTCGCATCCCCCGTTGGCCTTGGCCTCGAAGCGGGTAGCCGAGGCGCATCAAGCTCCACCAAGTCCGAGGAAAGACGACAGACAACATCTTCGGAACCTCTAAAGAATAGCGAGAAGACTAAAATGCCTCGAATGCCGCCGAAGTCACATGCGCGTCTCTCCCCCGGAAGAGCGGGCCAGAAACGGCCATCTGGGTCTGAGCTCGATTTCCCTAACCCCTCAGCGACCAAGAAGTCCGAAGCACATTCCACAAAGAAACTGCGACTATCTCTCGAGAAAGAGACGCGCCGAGAACCTAGCCCTGCCAAGTCGCACTCCCCCAGGCTGCCCGCACTTCTTTCCCCCACTCTCCCACCAACATCGGGTGGACCCAGACTTCCGCGCTTGCTGTCTCCTACCCTCCCCCCAGATATCGAAAAGGAGTTGGCCCGCCTTGAGGACCGTTCACCACCTCGCAATAGTCGGGCAGGAAAGGGATTGCCTGCCAAGGAATCTAATACCCATGAACATTCAAGAGACCATACCCGTGCCGAACCACAAAAGACGCAACTCCTTACCAAACTGCGATATGGAAGAGCGAACCGAAAGCGTGTCGAAGCTTTGCTTAAATTTTCTGGCAAAAGGAAAGCGCACCTGTCAGATTCACCGATCAGCCAGGATACAGATCGTGATGATGTCTCACACCCCAGAAAGAAGGGAGGAGATACTGGTCCATCTCGTGGGAACCCATTCGGGGATCCGAAAGGCAAGAAGAATGAGACCGATGAAGCCCTTGGCCCTCAAGGTGGTCGCTCAAAGGAGCCAAAAGCTTTTCCCGAAAAGCCTCGAACACCGATTCCTCAGCCACACTTGATCTCTAATTCAATCGCCCATGACAAAATCAAAGCAGCTTCTATCACGCCGGTGAAAGACCTAAAACCTCCTACCTCTCGCCGAAACGATCTCGGAGAGACCGATAGCAAAACTCCTTCTTATCCCGCCAACAAACGTCATTCCGTTGATCCTGGGTCAATCATGAAAGCTTCGCCGACACAGGCAGATGGTCGCACGCGCAATGAGCGACAAGTATGGTGGGATGAATGGCAAAAGTTTGCGAGCATCGGTCGTGAATTGAAACATGCCGCAGAGCGGCATACCTCCAAAACCGGGACCTCGGTCACTGACGAAAAGCTAGCCGTTGTGACTGCAATCGAAGCGTTGCTGTCCTTTATTATGGCCTTTGTAGCGAATGACCAGGCCAAGGCTTCATCACGCCAGGTTGGGGATTCCTCAACATGGCTGTCTATTGTGCCATACTGGCGAGTGGTCAAGAAGAACAGTGTACCATATCCAGCATTGAACAGTCTCTGCTTGCTCCTTGGGGCTGTGTCATTCACTGCCATTCACAGTCTTGATCTTGAACGTCTCGCCATAACCCCAATTCCTGGAGAGCACACCCTAGTTTCTGCGCCTGGGAGTGACGGAAACGCAGCCCTGTTGGATGAGAACAGGAAAATCAGGAAGGAATTTTCAGAACTGAAGGCTCGTCTTCCTGAGTTCTACAAGGATTCACAGAGGTTATGGCTAGAGGGCACCCGGGGTCTCTCTGAAGATGTCCTTGGCCGTGAATTCCCTACGATCTGGTCTCAGCGATCTCGAAATTACTCGGAGCGAGGTCGATCATCTCTCAAGGCTGGCGACTATGCTGGAGGTTATTTCCTCCCACTTGGTGGCACCACTCCTCCCATCGAAGTGGTTCGGTTTGGCTGGTCCCTGCTGAAAGAATGGTGCTTGAAAGAACGAGTGGAGTGGAATGGACGTCTTGGTCTCTAATTCATGTCTCATATTTTTCCTTCTTTCCTTTCGCCCCGTCGCTCGGAATATGTTTCACATGGCGTCTTATGGGAGGCATTTTTTCTTCTTCTTTCGCACAGGTCATTGCCTTTCTCTCTTTATATTTCCTCATGATACCACGAGCCCTGGATTTTCATGTAGCTATTTGCAATTCGAATATACCACGGGGATGCAAAATAATACATTATTCTCTCACAGAGATGCTTCAACGCCGTGTACAAAATGTAAAATGCAGAATGTATTCGGTTGTCTTCCATCAAAAAGAATTCTACTTGAAAGTCAAAGATTCTCGCTAAAGCATATGGAAATATTATAACCGTGAAAAGCGCATGCGTTGGGGGCTTATAAGACGAAGAAAGAAAGAAGGAAAGAGAGAAGATAACCGACCTAGACCTCTTGATACTCATGTCCGAAGCGAGGCTGCGAGTCACCAAAGAGCCAACCAGCCTCGCGGCAATACCGGGCTTCTCTGCCGTAAATGCCGACTTCGCTTGCCCAGCAAATCACCGCTGCGTCTACAATATCTGCGATCACACCTTCCATTGCACCCAGTGTGGTCCAGCCAATTGTTCCAGCAATAAGGCCGACGACGTAGGCATAAAGGCTACCACGAATGGTCCCACCGGACGCCGAGGTTGCCAAGCTCCGGGCAGTGGTCACCCAACCGCCAAACCCTAAGGCCAATGACATCATGAAACGGGCAGCGTAGAGGATCAATTTAGACAGCCGGTATGAGAGTAAAGACCCCGAACTCCCCGGAGATCGAGAATAGGAACGGGGATGTAAAGACGTTGAGGCCGCCGACGGAGCAAGGATAGTCATTTGGCTCAAACCCCGGGAGGAAGCGGCAAGAGGCTGCGAATGAATCGCTGCGTAGGTGAGAGAAAGAGGATTGGTCAAGAAAGTGATTGGGGTGGGGACGAGTGAAAAGGCGAACAGACTGAGCAACGAGGAGATGCGACCTGGTAGCAAAATAAGAGGAAGTCGAACCAGTAGCCCCAATAGTCTGGATAAAGAGATCGTGCCAAAGAGAGTTATGGCGGCGTGAACGATGGCTGCCTGAACAATTTGCCTCGAGGTGGGTGCGGGTGTGGTCAAACGGTGGAAATACCACTGACTCACTGTTGCAGCCGTTACAGCACGCTGGATGCCTGCGATGACGCCGATCGACCACAGATAAACAACAACGAAATAGATGCCAAGCCACCAGCTACCCACGTCAATAAGAAACGATTTCGAGCTAACAAGATGACCACCCAAGAAGACGCGAGTGAACATCAGCATCCAGATCCACGTCCAGGAAACAACGCAGACCAAGGCACCCAGACCAAGAGCAAGGAGCTCGGGATTGGCTGCCAAGATTCGACAAGCAAATTCAAGAATGCCTATGGCCTTCCCTATAGACTGGCGGCCGCGCACAACATTGTAGATCCACATGGTAGCTACGAGAAAGGGGACAGCAGAGCCCCATCTCATCGCCTTGTCCTGGATACTCGTTCCATGCCATGGCCCCTTGAAACTTGAGATAAAAGGATATAAGGAGAAAGAGTATAAGATAATGGGGACGGCGACTAGGATCACATGGACCAGAAGTCGCACATAGGACCGTAGCAAGGCCAGCCAGAGAAGGGACACAAGAACCGATACAATGGTATATATCCCGAGAAGGAAAAAAGATCCATGGACAGTCATGTATATTGTATCACCCCATCTTGATTTGTCTCCAGATGGGGTAGATGTGTGAAGATACACGAGAAATGCAGAAGCAAACAATCCCGCAAGAGATATCAGAAACAACTGGCCCCAGAAGGCATCGTGTACTGTGTTTTCTGAGGCTAGCGGTGATACTGATGTTCGGAATGAGCTTGCCGAGCTAGGGGGCCGTGGAGCATCTTGGGATAAAAGTTCAGCCTGTTCTACAGTAGGCCCATGCTGGCTGGGACCAGAGGGCTCCTTCAGTAGTTCTCGTTCTCGGAATCGCTGAACAGGTGGATCGTGGGCACTGGGACTGGATAACGCCTGGCCATCGTTAACATCGGCCCGTAAAGAATCTTCCAGGCCGACATCAACTAGATGACCTCGAAGTTTGCTACTGGTTGGGCTGGATCGAAATGTCGATTCATGCTCTGGAACTTCTGCCACAGGCTCGATAGGAAAAGGGCGAGCACCAAAAGCACCCTCTTCTCCCCGCCATGAGCTCT